GTTATCTGCCTAGATTCTTAATCAAACGCAGTTTTTATTTTGTTACAAACTTTTGCGCCAGCAATGTTTCTTTTCGTGTATCCATGGCTATGCCAGAATAAACTGAACTGAACTGAACTGAACTGAACTGAACTGAACTGAACTTTGTTCTTCTACTCTAAAAAATTGTTTTTCCTGACTACGGGGAAGAGCACATTCAAAAGTACGAAAATCACTGTATTCTTACTTTTGCTACACTTTTTTACGCAAATAATAGCAGAAGGAAAAAGTTCAAGTCGAAAAAAATACCAATTTTACAAAGTTGAGAGAGCGTGCGCGTATATAGCCACGATAGTGTATTATTTAGCATATGGTCGTCATAACAATTTTCAACCCTCTGAAGGAAGAAAGCGAATTCAGTAATCAGTTGATTTTCTCGTCAACAACAGACATGTACGGGAAGACGAATCAGATGATAATGGTTGATTAATATTAAAAAAATAAAAGGGAATCGCCGACGCCCTTATAATAGGAGGATAAACATTCGCCCTCAGTTCTTTCTCATTTGGATCTTTATTTTGGAGCTCATTTTCGTTTTAAAATTCTTTATCAAGCTTTCACTGGATTATATAAAAGTTTTATAGGAATTAAATAAAAGAAATGCCAGAAAAAAGTGATCTGCTCCAGAGTTTAGAAAGTTTTCATTTTTTTCGTCTTTCCTATAATTTGCATCGTTTTCTTGATCGAAATTCTGAAATTAAAGTTCAAGTGTGGTTTTGTAGAGTATTTTGCGGCGCATCTTTTAAAAAAACGCTAACCTTAGAGTCCTAAAGAAACACGAGAAAAATAGCAAATACTGAGACCGCCATTTATTCTGCGCCACCCGTTACATGATTGAATATATTAAGATTCGTGAAATTAAACGACTTCGTGAAATAAGATACTTATATTAAAATCCATGCCAAATGACTAAACTGGGGGTGATCAGAGAGAATGCTCTCCGTTTTATGAAACTACAGCCTTGGCGCCAACAAAACACACCATGTTAAAAATGTAATAGGCTATCCTTTTTAAAATAACATGAGCACTTGGTCATATAACGTTATCAAACTTTAGTCATGCATGGGATATCGTTAGCCGAACAAGCCGAAATGCGATGGTCTGTTAGTACTGGACATATATTCAGAAACCATCATTTTTCCAATGATTCATAAATTTCGATCGACAGATGTTACGGACATTTACAGCGTCTTTATGGAAAAGATGAATAATATTGTCCAAAAGATCCAACGAATATTCATTCAATTCTGATTGTCTCACCCTCAAATCAGCATAATCTACGACCTAAGAATATAGGTTTTGCTTTCTATCGCTTTGCTTAAATTGATCTTAATCATTCTCAGATCAATAAATCAACGAAGACTATTTTAAGGTCGCTTTGATAGAAAGGAGACTAACTAGAAATGTTGTATTCATAATTGAATCGATTAAAAAATCTATAAAAAATTAATAAGAGTGATGAAGACAGTTGCTTCATTGTTAGGAAACTCTTATACAGCTCTTTGGATATTTTTATAAGGCCTGATGGAACACTTTTCCGTGACATCTTAACGCTGACCCCAGCGCTTGCTTTAGTACTGGCATTACGAACTAAACTTGTTGAAACTATCAGCTCATATTTATTTTTCTCAGTTGAATCTTACTCGAAAAAAGAAAGAACACTTTGTTGTTGCTTATATTATCGACCTACGACGCTTGTTATTTAGATCTTTTGCTTATTTACATCCTAATTCACTTCACGCTTTTGTATCCATGAAGAATCACGATATCTGCGCGGATATCGAAGTTAAATTATCAAAATGGTACGTTTTGTCTTAGGACGGTGTTCTATTTTTGAAAAAAATGAACATATTTTACTCATTAAGATTTTAAAAATCTCACACCTAAGAAAGCGATTACCCTACAAACGATGATATATGCTAATATAGCTCCAATACAACCACCGAGTGGAATATAATCAAATCCGAGGGTTTTAATCGTTGTTTCTCCGACTTTTACACACGAACCTGCGGCTATGTTAGCTGCGGTACACGTTAAATGAAGGTTTGATAGTTCATTGAGACTGACACCAACGTACGTATACTTGACGTAACTCAAAGCATCTAACCATGCAAAATATTTTGGTAAATTCGCTGGTGCCAAAAAGAAACCACCAAATAAACGAGACACTTCCAAGGCCATGGGTAGAACCGTGACACTCAGATCTGTTGTTTTACAGATGGCAGAAATCATCAATGCTAAACTTGTCGATGCCATGGAACAGAGTAACATAAATAACATGAATATAAAAAATTTACCAGCCGTTGGTTGAAGTCCAATAAGAAAATAAACCACGATCGAGAATATTATTGGCATAGGTAATTGAACAAGTGTTTCAACAATAATTTTTGCAATGAAATAAGCAGATGCAAAATATGTTCCAGATGCACGTTCACGAAGTGTTAGTGCACGTTCAACGGGAAATGTGTTAATAACGGTCAACGCACCAAATACACCTTGATTAACAGAACAAAAGAACAACACTGGTTGACGTCGAATAACACTCCTTTGTCCTATGCCAATTTTCAGAAATACAGTACCAATGAGAACAGCCATGATGACTGTTTGAACTAAAGAGGCAATAAGAATGTCACGTTTTCGAAATTGCTCCTGAAGTGTTCGACGCAAAAGAATTCGCACCTGTGTAAACCATGGAGGACCCTTGGGGACATTGAAATATAAGAGACGTTTGTCGGCACCCAAATTTAAGTCAACTTGGATTGGTGTTTGTGCTTGTAGTATTTGTGAATCAATTAATGCTTGCTTTTCTGAAGTATCTGATGCACCGTCTCTTGGTGGTGTAACAACATCGAGTAAATGATCAGCGGGATTTGTATACAAGGGACACGGGTAACCAGCTTGTTTAAACACCTCCATGGCTTGTTCTCTTGGGCCTTGATAGAGAATATTGCCCTGTTTCAGCAAAATGACTGAGTCAAATAAATCAAAGATTTTGGATTGAGGTTGATGAATTGAACAAACGACTGTAACGGCTTTTTCTTGTGATTTACCATGAGCAAGATCATGGAGTGTTCCTAGAAGATCGAGAGCCGTAACACTATCGAGACCTGATGTTGGTTCATCCAAAAACAGCAGCTGTGGACGCGATAATAACTGCATACCAACACATAAACGTTTCCGTTCTCCACCCGATATACCCTTTTTTAGTGGTGTGCCAATAATAACATTTTTCACATGTACCAATCCCATATCATTCATTACATCTCTCACACGATCGTTACGTTGTTCACGAGTGACATGACGTGGTAAACGTAATTCAGCGGTATAATTCAATGTTTCTTCAACAGTCAGATGCCCGTTTAACATATCATCTTGCATAACGTAGCCAGCAATGCGCTTTAATTCGGCATTATCATACGCAGCACCGTTCAATCGCATTTCACCCGTATAGGTTGTATTCACATCCAAACGACAGGCCAATGTGTTTAACAATGTCGATTTTCCACTACCAGATGGACCCATAACGGCCCAAAGACCTCCCGTGATAGCGCCGCTAACATTTACTAATAACTGTTTTTTTTTGGGTACATAGTTTTTATAACCCTTAAGCGACTGGAGAAAACGATTTTTATCATCTTCTTTTGCTGAGACGACAAGATTTTGCCAAACCAAGACGGTGGTAACACGATCACTATTCGGATCTACCAACGATTCTTGCTGTTCATATGGTCCCAAATTGGTTTGGGATAGTCGAGTTTGTTGTTGTTCGTGGTGAGGTGCTGATATAGATGTCTCATGAAGAGCATTGAAAATAGGCACGGCAACATGTCCATTTTCCGAACTTGTTTCATTTACATCGGATAAATGAATATCTGATTTACTTCCGTTATAACCACGGTTCAGGTACGGTTCATTGGAACTAGAACTTATGGTGACAACATCGGAATCTTCATCAAGGGATTCGAGATTCATAGTTTATAGTTGAGAACTAGAAAGAAAAAGACAACGTTTTTAATAACTGTTTGGAAGAAGTCCAGTTGATTGTGAAACAAATATAATTAAGCATTATATAGGCAATGAACAATGAATGATACCTCTTTTACAAATAAAGAAAAAATATGTCCAGTTTTCTTATACATAGGATGCAGTATAGTAATCTATTTTTGATGTTTATAATAGATGATCACGATTATTCATCAAGGTAATGATTTATCACGATACACTAACTTCTAATTAGAATTGTGGTCGATATACCATCTATCGATAGTGTTTTTCGCTATGAGAAAAACAAAAATATCATCAATGGCTGTAGGTTATAGTCCAAATGTTATGTAGCCGTTTTTTACGACATCTCGTGGTATCAGGTGCAACAGTCAAAAAAGCCACGTGAACCTTTGATATCTATAATCATCGAAAAATTGTGCATTCCAAAAGTTTCATTCATAAATCAGATTTTAAACAAAATATCATGCCTTTGCACTATTAATCATACGATTTAAACTCGAAACCGTTTTTATTTCAACGAAATATCGCGTTAATGGTTAGATTGAAAACTGAGCTGAATGGTAGAGAAAAGTCATATTACAGTGATTCCATTGTAGTGTTGCATTAGTGCTCCAACTGAGTGGACAGAAGTAATACTAATTATGATTTGTTATTTCTATTGCTCAGCATAATTGTTAACTTTATCAGTAAAAATCTCTATAGATCGCTGATAAGCAATTCTATCGAATATTCGGTTCTTTCAAGATTTAAGTGGGAAACTACTGTTTTCTATTTCGATATAGTGCACACAAAACGGGAGACAGCACGATGAATACAAACAAATCAAAAGTGTCAAAAATAGTACTTGTACAACAAAGGTGAATCCATAAAACTTTGTCTAAAAGTGAATAAACTATATGTTTCACTCAAAAAAAGTAGTTTAAATTATTTACCTTTAGTTAAGGGACTAACAAGTTATGTATTCCGTGTATCCTCTTTCTAAAAATGGATGTGGCTGTATAGATACGCAAGTTATTCACTTATGGGACGAGCGTGAAAAAACCGGTACTCTATAAAAATACCTAGTACTAAAACTTGATTTTCGCAATCATGCAAAAGCTGTATTGGATAGATTACTGATGCATAAAAATACGGTCAATCATATTTTTTCATCTGCCACTAATGGGTCTATAATGTAAACACATTGTATTACCTATGTATAGATATTATTAGAGGACACGTTTAGATCGATTACATTTTTTTTTTTCTTTATGTAGATTATGTCTCATAACATAATCGTACACTTGGAACATATTTGTACACTATCTTTATAAAACAAAAACCTGCGTAAAAAAGTTAATTAACAGTGGCTAATAAGACTGTATATCTCGTTATTTTGCTGTATCCGTCAGTAGATATGTGACTTTTAACATTTTGACCTGTAACCACATATAAAAGGTAAAAATATTTTTTATGCATCATTGGACATCCGACTTTATTCGACTATGTACCACATAGTTAGTCCACGCAAACAGAATTATAGAAAACAGATCAGTTTTCTTTTAGCATATCTGAAGTTGTTATAGACGCAGACAGAAATCCTATTAAGATCATAATCGACTTGCCATCGGTATTTAAGATGATATGGCAAGATTGGATGTACAATTTGAATCGATCATTCCGAAATCGGAGAGCACTGCTGAAATTTTTTATACAGAAATGATGTACATGTGTTGCCTGTATCATCCTCTAATGCGTACTTGACGCTGAATTTTTAGCGATCCTCCAGTAATGAATTTCTATATTTTACTGGTTCTTCTCAACTGATCAGTTACTAATTTAAACTTGGGAAAAATTATCGGGAAGTATTAAGAAATATTTGTTAAAGTCCTGTGTATAAACTAAGCAGACAGCAATGAGGTTGATTTTAACAAGACACCCTCTGGTTTTGGCTTGACAGTCAAAACTACTAACACTACTAGACATATGTCTTTATAAGATGGCTGTCTGTTTTCATCAGCAGAATAATCTGTTAGAAATAAACTTTGAATCCTTGTTTTTACTCATACAATTTATTGTTATTTCGCGACGTTTCGAAGTACTACAATACTCCTTCAGACGAGATGATGATATGGCAGTAGAGAAAAGATACTGATATACTAAAAATTAATTATGATGTACTACGCTAAAGCGCACTACATAATAATTAATTATTAGAAAGATAGTCACAAAATGGACTCCGACGAACAAACCCATCACCTAAATCTGGACAATAATGTTAATATCCAAAGGAAACAAAAAAGAAGAAGCAAAATATTATCAAAATAAAGAAGACCACAATTCAAAACACGAATTTGATAATGGGAGTTGCTCTCGAGTCTTGAGTGAATTAGATTTCTAGAAAATCTGTCTTTCGAAAAAAATAGTTTTTCTTCAAAATAAATGTTTTCATCTATTGAGATTGTAGAGCATTTTAAGTTCTCTATATATATAAACTTTTTCTATCATCCAGTTTGTTTTCACACAGCTGTAGCTAAGTTGAGATATGAAGAACAAGTAAACAATTGTGTTGAACATATGAAAAAGCTTTTTCACGTTCTTCCATTTTTCGGTCAATAGTCAGATTTATATACATCGACAAATCAGCGTGCTCTGCAATACAGACAGAGTCAGAAGATATTGAACTGGATTTGAAGAAAAAAGCTTTTCACTGGAAAATTGGTTTTTAGAGGTCCATATACCGTTTCCACTATGATATTCGGAATCAGCATCATCAACTACGTATATCTATCTATGTTTCGGTCAAAAAAAGTGTTGGTGCATTTGGGATCCTTCTCTCGTTAGTTGAGATATCCTATAGTGCTAATCTAATGTGACCTAATGAAAGTGTTTCTATTAGTTGTTTTGCTCTGATGAATAGGGAGCACAACGTAGGAAGCGTACGTATTGAATGAAAAAGTAGCACTCACTCAACGTTAGAGCGAGGGGGAGGATGTGTACGAGATATTTTTTCTGGATTCTGCATTCGAGTCTCAGCTGTCAAGTAGAGACGTTCTTCCTCCTACGGATCCTTCTCCTTCTTGCCTTATGATGAAACATCGCTGATGTACATCCCAGAGACACCTGGCCGATACATCGGTTGGATGTGACGACATCATCTTTTTATTGAGTAAGGCAGTTGATTGTGTTTTTACTACTTGTACTTGATGAAACGGAGGCTGAAGAAGAAAATAGTTACTTCTCTGTCAGATGAATGACAGGGAATCAAGTGATGGTCTGTCAGATGAATGACAGGGAATCAAGTGATGGTCTGTCAGATGAATGACAGGGAATCAAGTGATGGTCATCTGACAGACCATCACTTGATTTCAGCTGATTTGTCACTTGGAAATACATATCAGGTAAAAGAAGTATCTAATCCTTTGTCCGAAAATACAAATGATCTTTGATCATCTTGCCATTCAGTGCTTCGATTGAGAATAGTGTGTGTAGCTCACTCGTGATCAAGTGTACAGGTGATTCTAATACTTTAATAGTTGATGTACAAGAACTGAATGCCCACCACCCTTATTCATTATTGTCATGATACTGATGACTCAAGTCTTCTCGCACACCTGTTCATACTGCACTATGCGCAGGGGGGAGTTTGTACATCGTGTGTTAAGATTTTTGATTGTGGTAGAATTTTATATCATGTTTGAACAACGATACATGCAGTAAGGGGACACCTCATATATCCTGATCGGGATATGTCTCCACACTGACAAGCGAAAACAGAAAACAGCATGTAGCATCTCTCGACATGTGACCATTATTTGATATAGATGTGTTTTTTAGATGATTTAACAGATTAACATCGAGAATCTTCATCAACAATATTCGTTCAATTATTGCACGACTAATGAAGGAAGAAGGCAAAGAGAGCTCGTTCGACGAACACAAAGAGAAAAAATATTCTCTAGCCGTTTGATTGTTTAGAACGAAGATGAGGTCTAAAGAATGAGGAATAGAATCAGGCCAAGTATCGTGGACTATGAGACTCTTGATGTTATTTAGGCTAGGCGAGACGAACTAGTGTCAGCCATAACTTTTTGCATCTATCCAGTGACTAAAACGTTTCCAATTATTTGAGCAAAACTCTTTGTTTTTTACATGAAGTTTTCTAGGAAGAATTATTGGATTCATTAACTGTTTCTATGATTCATTTAAGGCGCAGGATGGTAAAAGATGTTCTTTTGACAGCTAGGTTGGAGGGATGTTGTCTTCCTTTTGTCACAAAGAGACCATCGCGTGAGAAAGGGTTAAATGAAGAACTACTTTTAAAACAAAGTAGCAACAAATGAAGTTTTTTCCACTGAATCGTTAATCAAACTATAGAGGAAATGAAAGCGTATAGCACCCAAAATGGAAAAGAAATATAACAAAGTAAAAAATAATGGAAACCGATTAAATGGATTGTTCAATGTTGGTTCTGAATAACAAGTATGTAAAACAAAGTCCGAGTTTACTCTAGTGTCCTGCATCGGGTTTTTTTCGGGTTTAACTAAACAGTGAAATAAATTTCGTTTCTAAAGAGCAAATTTGTCCAAGGTGTACGTTCGATAGAGAAATGTTTCCGCTTTCGAATGTGGTAGTTTACATGAAAAAAGGTTTCACGACGAGCTGCTAGCAATCCAAGTCCGTGAAAAACACGAAAAATCCGGTTTTTCGCAGGTCACTAGTTTCCTCCCACTACATGCTATAATCGAAGAACATCTCAGAAAATTCTGGACAAAAATACGTCGATTTTCTTTTTCGATGTTCTATCTCTGTTATAAATTGGAGCTCAATCGGATGTGTGTTTGGCAACAAGGTGAAAAAAGAGGGGAGGGGGGGTGTATCCTTAACATCATTAGGACGGATGTGAGAAACGTACTTGTTTTGATTCTACAATGATTCTCTAAGCGTCGTGGATTTTAATTAAGAGCAATATAGATAAATATACAAAT